TTTGAATATGAAACAACAACGACAACAGCACACTGCATCTATCTTAAACAATGCAAATGTTTTAATGGCTGATAATGATCATTATGTATCTTTTTTGAATAAGACAGAATTTTATGATGTACCAAAAGAAGTTAGCACTGAAATCAACAAGGAGAACACCACACTATTGAAGAATTCAGCATGGAAAGAAGCCACTAAATATGTTTGATTTGCTTATGATGGCAATTATTTTGATTTGAATAATGCAGAACTATTTTCATAAACATTATTTATCTCTTATTAGCTTCATTATACTTAAACCTGCAATAAGTTTCTCACTTTAATTGAAATCTTTGCTCTGCTCTGTAAAAAGAAGAATTTTTTCATACAGAACAATAAGTTCTTAAATGCGCTGCATCGTAGTGAAGGCCAGGAACTGTTGCAGAAAAAAACAACTAAAAAGTTTTAGTTAGTACTATGGTTTCATTAAAGTATAACATACTTAGACTTGTTTCGATCTCGGAAAGGACTTTTTGGATACTGTAATACTTAAATAATCCTTTCATGTTTAGTTTGTCAATAAATTGAAAATTCTTTCGTTGAAAAGAGATATTTTTTTGTAAGTATTTTTTTAAAATTCTATCCAAACTCTAACTGATTCGAATTATTCATAACGTTGATTAAAAGAAATTTCTAAAAATATCATAATACACAGAGAAACCTAACAACACAAGTTATAAGAACAATGAAAGAATGGCAAGCAATAAAATAAAATACTAAAATGGATTCCACAATGAAGCACCGGTGTGGCTATGGATGTAACTGAGCATATCTTTTATTGACACTCATATCCTGTCAACGAAAGATCTTAAAAAATTTTGTCAGTTTGGTTTATTATTGAAGAGACAGATAATATTGATTGAAGAATTGATAGAAAATTGAGACTTACTTTTATAATAGTGCTGCTCTGTAATAAAATGTACACTCTTACTAGCATGATGCCGAGAAAAAGTTCAAACAGGCGTAATTCTGGCAAAACACGCAGAGCAAAACGGTACTAATAGAATGAATTCTTAGTTTTTGTAGTGCTTGATACTCGAATATGTATATCAATATAAAATTTCAAGTTCGACTAGTTCAAATATTTACTCAAATATGGATGAAGTCAAATTGAAACAGCATTAAATGTTTGATTCGGTTATCCAATTGTTATAAGGATGAGAAATAAATCAAATAAGTGGACAGATATTCTTCAAAGGAGTTGAATGTAGAAATTTCCGACAACTTCACATGCCAAGTGAAGATCAGCAAAACTTTTGTTGACTATTCAACAACTTGATGCTCGGTTAATCAACTAATATGAGTTTGTCTATCTTTTTTTTTTTACATGTAGTGTTTCTTCTTCCTTTAAGAACAGAATAATAGATCACTCTTGTACAGAAAACCGGCGAAATCTTGTCGGTTATTTGCTGTAAGTAATTGTGTATATTATAAAGAGAAAGTTTCAGATTGAACAACACATCTTTTTTTCTTTCTATTCTAAAAGTTGAAAGAATGTGAGAAATACTTAGTATTTACAAAAAAAAAAGAGGGACTTGAATGTACTTCATAGAAATATGTCGATTATTTTTTTTTTGAATTTACGTATTATGATCGGTTTAGAAAGGCGAAAACTAATAGACTTTATCAATTTATACAAGTTGAATGCAGATATAAAAGTTTTGTGTCACTGACGGATGA